GCATCAATGATCTGATCAATGCGGAGGAGAAGGAAGGGATCCTTAGGGCAGGATTTGTTGAGGTCTTTGAAATCGACACACAGGCGTCGGGATTTGTCCTTCTTTGGTACCATCACCAGGTTTGCTAGCCAATCCGGGTGTTTAATTTCTCTAATGAAACCGGCTTCAAGTAGCTTGGCCAGCTCCTCTCCCATGGCTTGTCGTTTGGGTTCGGAAAAGCGTCTAAGTGTCTGCTTGACTGGTTTATATCCCTTCAATATGTTGAGGCTATGCTCAGCCAGCCTGCATGGGATTCCTGGCATGTCTTAGGGGTGCCAGGCGAAGATGTCCCAATTCTCACGTAGAAACATTCACAGTGCGGCGTCAATTGTGGGGTCCAGCTTTGCCCCGATGGATGTTGTCTTTGTAGAGTCCATTGGATGGACTTAGAATTTGACAATTTCTCCCGCTGGTTTAAAGGAGGTGGACTTGGATCGGTTATCGAGTATCACGTCATCCCTGTCCACTGTGGAGCGTAACGCAGTTAGCTCTTCGGCCGTAAGGGCTTCGGATAGTGCCTCTAGGGCCAAGGCGGCGGTTTTATTTTCGGCGCGGAGTGCTATGTCCGGATCACTAGCAAGGGTGATGATTCCGTTGGGTCCAGGCATCTTGAGCTTCATGTACCCATAGTGGGGTATAGCTTGGAAGCTCGCGAATGCGTCTCGCCCCAAGAGGGCGTGGTATCCGCTACTGAAGGGGACCACTTGGAATGTTATTTCTTCGGACCTGTAATTATCCAGCGTGCCGAATACCGCATCTAGTGTGATTTTTCCCGCACATCGTGCCTCCTGTCCGGGAATGATTCCTCGGAAGGTTGTGCTGCTTTGCTCAATGCGGCTATTGTCTATTTCCATTTTGTTGAGGGTTTCCTCGTAAATGAGGTTTAATCCGCTGCCGCCGTCCATGAGCACTTTGGTAAGCCGGAAGCCGTCCACAATTGGACTGAGGACTAAAGTGGCTGGTGCCCGAACTATTCTGAATTGCGGTTCATCACGGGCGCTAAAAGTTATGGCCGTGTTGTTCCAAGGGTTTATTGCTACAATTTGACAGACTTCGGCAATGTTGCGGAGTGTTCGCTTACGCCTGTTATTCGAGGCAAAAGTCTCGAAGATTGTCAACACTGTATTGTTGTTTTCTGAGGGATGATGCTCTGCAGGATTATTGATGAGGAGATCCTCGCCGCTCTTGGCCACCTGTCGAAGTATCCAACATGCTCTAAGGCTATGTGTTGGTACGGTATCCGGTGTGATGTGAATCTTGCGTGGCCTATTGAGCCATCCCTCCAATACAGTTCCGCGCCCTGTAGTGGGCTTCGGCTTCTTCATGATTGGATCGGGTGACCGATGAGGGTATACCCTTTTTGTTCGGACGAGGGGTTTAGTGAGAGCCAATGGGTCCCAAAAGGCTGCCTGGGTTTTCCAGGCGCTTTCCATTGCGCAGTACTTTTGTACTATGGCTGCCAAGTCAGCGAAGTGTGATATGCGACGGTGTTTTATGGCGTTAAGAATTCCCTTGTCTGTGCAATTTCTGCAAAAGTACGAGATTGTGTCTTCCTCGCGACAGTCCTTAACCTTGTTCATTACAAGGAGGAATCTGGCCCAAAAGTGATGTACTGTCTCTTGGGGTTGTTGTCTGATATGGGAAAGATCGCTTGTATCTGGGCGGGTGGGCGGATTTAAATCCGAATCTTGACCCGGTCTGAGACCCAGAGCTTGAAAGGTTTCCGAATTTAGCAATCCGGCTTCTAGGGTGTTACCCAACTTTCCGGACCCACAGTCCGACTCTAAGTCCAGGACTTGGGGCATGTCTTCCCGCGAACGGGTATCCGGCTCGGTGAGCTCGGTAATCCGGGCATAGTCTGTCCTTAGTATGGGAGGAGAGTTATCACTTTGTTCCTCCACCACCGCTATCTGATGGGTGACCGGAGGGGAATTAATCTCCCTCTGATCGGGTTTAAGCCCAATCTGGTCATACTCCATAGCGACTCCCAAGGCGGCGATACGATCCAAGAGCTCGTTCAAAGACGATAGCTCCGTCGGATCCATATGCTCGGCAAGTGCCGAGCTGACGCGGAGACAAATCTCGATGACCCGGGAGGTCGTCGTGGGCTCAACGGCCGAGGGGGCGGTCATGATGAAGCCGCCCAGCAGAATGGTTTGGCCCGAGGCCAAGGCTCCCCCGGAGGTGATGTTGTCCTTGATAGCAAGGAAAGCCATCAACCTTATCTCCGACGTCACAGTGGAACTCTCAATGAAAGCACCAATGTCGGTGTCAAAACCGGTGGATCTCGGGTAGGGGGTCCCGAACTGTGCGTCTAAGGCTAATGGTAATAGGAGGCGGGGGACACGATGTTACCCAGGTTCGGGCCCTCTCTATGGAGGTAATACCATACTTCTTGCTTGATTGATCTTGATGATATGAGTATTACAAGAGTTGATCTACCACGAGATCGAGGAGGCTAACCCTAGAAGCTAGCCTATGGTTATGATTGTTGTTTTCGTCCTACGGACTAAACCCTCCGGTTTATATAGACACTGAAGGGGGTTAGGGTTACATCAGGTCGGTTACAGAGAAGGGAATCTACATATCCAAATCGCGAAGCTTGCCTTCCACGCAAAGGAGAGTCCCACCCGGACACGGGACGAAGTCTTCTATCTTGTATCTTCATAGTCCAACAGTCCGGCCAAAGTATATAGTCCAACTGTCCGAGGACCCCTTAATCCAGGACTCCCTCACCCGTCTCAGGCATTGATCGCCCTTCTAGTGGAGATAGTTTCATTAGTGACATTCTAAGACCCTATCGTTCTAGCATCGCTCTTTCTCCCTATTCTCATGGTCAATGGCCACCCTTTCACAAGAGAATTTGCGCAATATTCTCATGCATACTCCTGTTTAGCCGGACAATAAATATATTTCCTAAGTACTTAGCATTTTGAATATTTAATATTTATGGAGCTCATGGCACAATTAATCAGTTGTGTCAGTCTACCCGCATAAAAACAGTTGTGCCAAGAGGTTTCTCTCCCTTAGGGCCCTATGATTTTTAAAAAGTAACTGCAATCAAATAAGCCACGAACAAAATGCATCAAATTTAACGAATGCCATTTTTGACATCATGTGAAAAATGTCTTCCTTGAAATTCATGTATCGCACAATATCGCATTCAACAAGGACTATATGTGAGAGAAACAGGGTGACTAGAGGCTCCGCCGCCATCCATTCAAGGCCCTACCCCGCACACCTTCCTCTCCTCACCACTGTCGGTGGAGTCCGTCGAACATAGCCATGCGGCAGACAGAGGCAACGAGGCCGCACCCAACCCACCCCTTGTACATGCAACCTTCTCCCCTTTTCACTTGGACAAAAAATGTTCCCAACACCTCGTGCTTCACCTATCCTAGATCCTACCATAGTGTGCCCGCAAACGCGTGTTGCCTTGGATATGACTGTCAGCCAAACTCGAAGCCTTAGGCCAGATGTTGCTAACACCCTTAGGCTGTCGGATTTGGTTTTAATGGAGGTGACATCTCGAGAGTGGAGAAATGGGCTGACACCTTCGGACCAGCACTCACCCTAGAGGCGTTGACCTACCTCCCTCATGCCTCTACATTGGGCTTGGGGATGTGGGGGGTCCCTAGTCGGCTCTATCCGACCATGACAACAAAATCACATACATGTCATTCCTCATATTGGTCGCGTGGTCTTCATCTCTTTCCTCGTCCCCATGTCGAACTCGTCGACTTTGTTTGTGAGCTTCCTCCAAAATCTCCACCTTGTCGCCATTTGTTAGCCCCTTTTGTCGTCATTCTTGTTGTCGTACAATACCTTTCATTTGCACCCCGCCTTGGGCATTGACCGCCCTTCCACGGGAGATAGTTTTATTCGAGACACTCTAAGACCATGTCGTTTCATCATGGCTCTTTCTCCCTACTTTCATGGGCAATGATCACCTTGTCACTAGAGAATTTGCAATCTTCTCATGCATGCTCGACGAGTCCGAATCTTTTATCGTCTTTATTTACACTCCGCTATGGACAATGACCACATTTCTGGCATGTGATGAATGGCATGGGGTTGTCGATGGCGCAACTCCTTGGGTGTTTACTTCATGTGGTCTTTCCGTGCTCGAGATTTCGGCGTTGTCTTGGTTGGGATCCCATGTGGTGTCCTTTGGGGTTTCTCTCTTTTTCTTTGCTAGCGGTGCCTTGTATTATGGTTTAACATAACCTAGGTTGCTCCATCCAACCCTCTAGATGTTTAGGTGGTTGCCATTTACACCGTGCCATAATCTTGTACTCCACATAGTGTTTTGTGTTTCTAGCGTCTTTGCTTGGGCAAGATGCATTGTCCATCTGGCTAGCTTCCAGAAATATATTCACGTGGGCTCTGTCCTCTTGTAAACTGTTTTGAAAAAAAAAAGTGCGTGACATGTAAAGTTTCTCTCTATAAACATCCGAAGTTGTCTCCTTCCTCCCGTTTCAAAGTTTCTCAACAAGCACCCCTCTTCGGAGCACGCAACCTACAGTGCACTGCACGAAAAATCCCACTGCCGTGTGGGCCTGCGCCCGCCAGCCGGTGGCCCCACGCCGCAGGCGCAAAAGAACAGAGAGAGAAGCGTCGAGCGCAGGCCCCGTCCTCGGAGCCTCGGGGCAAAGCAAGCCCGGCGCGGGACCCACCAGCCACGGCGGCCCCACCAGTAAGCGCGGGCGGGACCCGCCACCGGCCCTCCCCTTCCCCACTCACTTAATAAAACCACCTCCCACCTCCTGCCGAGCCTGTCTCCCCTTTAAACACCACCGATTCGCGCACCGTCCCTCTCGCCCGCCCGCCCGCGCACGCACCACACCGCACCACGGCGCCAGGACGAGCACGGGAGCGCCACCGGATCGAAGGATAAAGGCCCTCTCCTCCCCCCGGTCGCTGGATCCGGCCCTCGGGGGACCGATCCCTCCGCGCCGGCGATGGACTCCTCCTCCTCCTCCTCCGCCCACGGCAGCGGCGCCGGCGCCGGCCTGCTGGGCCGCGGCGGGGGCAAGGGCGGGAGCGGCACCGGCACCGGCAGCGGGAGCGGGAGCGGGATCGGCGGGGACAGCACGTCGACCATCGGCGGGGGCGGCGCGTCGGCGGATGCGTGGACCCGGCTCGTCAGCTCCGGCGTGGAGGACGACCTGGTGTGCGCCGTGGGAGCCGGGGCTGGGTTCGGGGCGGGTGGCCTGCCGTACGGCTACTTCCTCGATGCCTGCTTCCTCTGCCGGAAGCCGATCGCCAGCAACCGCGACATCTTCATGTACAGGTCCGCTCCCGGCGTCCGCCGTCTCTCCGTCCATCCTCCCCCCTCCTCCTCCTCACTCCGTCCGTCGTGTTTGCCTGGGTCTTCGTTTCTGTGGGTCCCCGCTCCCCGGTCAGGGCCACTTCCGGCGTGTTCGGAGCTGGTATTTCTCGGGGGAAGAACAGAAATTTTGACCGCCGGCCGGGGAAAAGCCATGGTCAGTGCCTGGCCTGATTCTCCAGAAAAGAAAAGAAAAAGGTTATATAATGCCATTCGTTTCTTGGTGCTAGGACAAACAAGGGAAGAGATCGGTGCGCGTACTTTTCCTTTTTCTTCTTCTTTTTCATGATGGGCTATTGGTGCAGAGGTCCTGTCGTCTGTGTCGTGCGCGTACGGGTGGTGGTAGCTTACTCTGCGCGTGATTCCATTAAATTCCGCGCAGGCCTGAATCGGCGGGCTTAATTACGGTCACGATTTCACTTGCACGCTTGCATGTGGAGTTACCACTGATTTTTCTCAACAAAGTTACTGGCCAGGATTCAGGAGAGACTTAGCTGCTAAGCATGTGGTTTTTTTTTGGGGGATTATTACCTGACCTTCTGATAGATGCCAAAGGTGTTCGTCCCACTGCTTTACTGCTGTTTGTTCCGTCTGGTAGTAGATGGGTTAAAGTTGAACAGAAACTGTAGCTTTTTGTGTAGGGTCCTTCCGTTTCCGTTTGAGATGGTGATTTTGCTGCATGAAGTGGAAAACTATATGGTTCTTTGCGAATTGGTTTCGAAAAGTGGAGGATCAAGCAGACGTTCAGTATGAACTATGAAACGTAGAATCTTTCACTAATTGCATGTTTATCGCTAACAAACATTTCCGTGTGTGAGGGGAGGTGTGATAAGACAGACATGTTACATGACTACGAGTTCGTTGAGTGATTGTCAAGCCTTGTGTTTACTGGTTCATGCCATGCACACGCTGAGATTAACCTGAATCTTTTGTTTTCGCAGAGGGGACATCGCGTTCTGCAGCGAGGAGTGCAGGACGGAGCAGATGGAGGCGGACGAGGAGATGGAGAGGAAGGAGAAGAGCGCGTCCGCCAAGAAGCTGTCGCAGAGGCCGCCGTCCCTGGGCGAGGTGGAATCCCCGCCGCGGCCGCCCAAGACCAGGGCCGGGTCAATCCTCGCCGGCTGACAGGAACTGAGCTGCTCCTTTTCCCCCAGGCCAAGATCCACCATTACCCACCATCAGAAGAAAGAAACTACCGCTTAATTACTTACAGCCAGGCAACCAGTGACATATATGGGTTTGTGTTTTTTGTTTGAACCCCTTGCGCTTTTGGTGGTGTTGCGACCATGGTTTTTGTGCCTGCAGCAGCAGCAGCCTGTATCGGTGACGAACATGATGTATAGGTTAGAGACTGAAGGAAGGGAAATGGTGGCCAGTGCTGCTTCCTATGCTGGGACTGTGCTGCCAGGGGTTTCCCGGGCTCTGTTCTTAATTATTTTTCTTTGTGTTTTGTAGTAGTTGTTGGTGAATGGTGATGGTGGTGGTAGGTTTAAGGTTTTTCTAATGAAGCGGGTGGAACATATGGGCAAAGAAGAAACTGACGTATGGGTGACCGAATCCCCGACTTTTTCACCCATGTATCAGCAGGTCCTGTCAAGATCTTGCGAGTTGTGCGTGTGTGTGTGTTGACGGAGGCCGTCGGTTTTTGGCCGGCTCTCCTTATTAACTTGCTGCTAGTATAATAATTCTCCGAGGTCTTGTCGATGTTGAAAAACCTAACTCAAAAGACTGATCATGCACGTTTCATTTTCATGATCATCATGCCTGATGGCATGCTACAAGTATCTGGCCTACGCCTTCATTCATGTTTGCTTGCTCGCAACGGTGAAAGATCTCACTTCACAGGCTCAGCAGCACACACACGATTGTGGAACTAGCCCATCATACTTTCCAACGGCTGGACAAGTGGAAGCATAAGCTGGAGGTGTCACACTCTACTAATGAAATGATGTCACGCGGCGTAGGAGCGGCAGGGCTCCAGATGAACCGGAAACAGAAACCATTTCCTCGATCTCAGTTGACCTTTGCAAGCAACATCAAATCAAATCGTGGCCGGACAGCTGCGGAGCCCGAGAAATAAATTTTAAAAATCAAGATCGATACGGTGCCGTCCTCGGCCGCTCCCCACCAAATCTACAGCAGAGCAGCAGCAGCAGATGTACTCCCGGCGGCAGGCTAGACGACGAGGTGGGACGAGACGAGCCCATTTGACCCCTGCGTTCCCTCCACCCGGCAGAAATCACATATCTGACCTCAGGCAGAAATCAAATCACAAACTGACCTGGTCACGAAAAAATTTCACTCTGCTGACCCTTTGGTGTGGCGCCCGACAGCCGGGCGCCGCACCCTATTGTGCAGCGCCCTTTCCTTAGGCGTCGCACATCCTGCCAGCGTGGCAGCCCTGGTCCAGTTGTGGCCCCACACGCACCTGTGCAGCGCCTAAGAGCTAGGCGCCACACACCTATAATGTGCAGCGCCTAGCTCTTGGGCGCTGCACAGTCTGTGTTCCACTTGGGCTGGCCCCACCCTCTCTCCCCTCCCACCCCCACCCCACACACCCCCACCCGACCCAAACCCTTAGACTTGCGGCCCTCCTCTCTTCCCCTCTCCCCCCTCTCAAATCCTTCTCAAATCTTGCAAATCCGGAGTATTTGACCGTGGATTTCGAAGCCAACCCCTCCCTTAAGGTAATCTCCTCCGATCCCCTCGTTTTCATCCATAGGAATTGTCACATTTGCTTAAATCTTGCTAGTTTGGGGAAATCCTAGATTTTGATAGGATTTGGAAAATTGTGTTGAATGATGTTATATTTCTTTGCTAATTTGGGTTGTTTAGGCTTCCATAGTATGCTAGGGTTAGGGTTATATGTTTTTGATGTTGGTGTTAGGGTTATGTTGGTGTTAGGGTTGTGGTTATTGTTATGTGGGGGTTAGGGTTATTAATTCATATATATGTTAGGGCATATGTGTGCAAATATTTTTCTTAAGTATTTACTTGATATATGTGTGTTTTTGATTATTGTAGGGATGGGGAGAACATGTGTTTATGTTCATCATGTGGATAAAGAGGCCTTTTTGAAAGGCAATGTTGAGACGGACCCGGATGAGCTTGACATGGTGTTTGAGAGTAGTCCTAGCTATGCGGAGCTTTTGAAACAAGTGAGGAAAGATTTGAATTGGATGGACCCAAGTGACGTTGTTGAGTTCGAGGGAAGGCATAATGTTGGTTTAGGAATGCACATCCGTTGGAAGACAATGCGTGTGAACTCCGAGCAACGTTGGGTTGTATACAAGGAGACGGTTGCCGAATCTCTAGACAAGGCTCCTGAGTTATTTGCCTCCAAGAAGGTTGAGTCTACTTTGAATTTAGACTTGAACCGGAACCCCTCCCCGTTGGTTGCTAGCACTCCCCCACCCATGAACCAAGATCAAATGAGTGAACCTCAATTCACGCAACAAGATTGGCCAACATTGAGCCCGACTCCAAACAACCAAAATGAAGGTTTTGAAGAGGAGAATGATGAGTACGAGGAGGATGACAACGAAGTTGACCTCCATGACAACAATGTGGGTGATCTCGACCAATATCATGTGCAAGAGACAATGGACCAATCCATCCCTTTTTCCCGTGCATATGCATCGGACTCGGATGACGATGGTCCTGATGAAGAAGTTGATGAGGAGGGGTTCACACCGAAGGAGGCCGAAGCATTCAAGAAGGTATTCGGGCGGGATCACAAGACACCATTGTTCAAGGATCTTAGTCTCGCGGATGAAGCCGTTGTGGATGATGGAAAATGCATATCTCTTGGAGCTAGGCCAAGTTCTCACCGTGATTTGGAAGACGGCAAGAACGGGATATATCCCGGTTGTGAGTTTCAATCCTTCTTGGAATTGAAGATGTGGCTCGACAACTACTCGGTTACACATTATCGTCCACATAAAGTGGCCAACTCGGACGTGAATGTGCGTTACACGGTCAAATGTGAAGTGCCAACATGTCCATGGATTGTGCGTGCAAGGTCATGGAAAGGAGGTCCCACTTGGCGCATAGTGAGTTGTCTACCAACTCACATGTGCCGGCACAAGAATGCGGATAGTAAGCTTGTGTACCAACAACACAGATGGCAAGCTTGTGATAAGCAAAACTGCAGAAACATATGCCATTTTGGCCTCCTGCAGCAGCACTCACATAATAAAAATACTGTAAACTGCACATGCTAAGCAAAGAGAACTAATAACTTGAACATCATATCATTTAAGACAATTCAACATTACTTCAGGTTCGCAAACACAAATACCACACTAGTAAGAGTTCACCAACATATAACATAACCTCACAAGTTCATAAACCTAATTAAACGGCTACAATTAACATGAACAAGCACTAATGCCTTCCGCGCGTGTTCCTGGTGGCACGCCTGCAGGCAAGCTTCTTCTTCTTCTTAGGAGCACGAGGATCCTCTTTGTGCACTTCCTCCTCCGCCTCCGCCTCCGCCTCCGCCTCCGCCTCCGCCTCATCATCCAAGCTAGCCATCCGCGAGGTCCCTACGACCACCTTTGGGTTGCCTCTGTTGTCATAGTCGTTGGGCGTGTACCGGCGTCTGGGCTGCCTAGGCTTGAACACATATGCGGACCGAGCTTGAGCGTCCGCCAAAGTCATGTCATCATCAAGCTCATCGCCCTATCACACAACGAAACAATATGGTGAAGGCCGATGTCGTAATCAAGTGAGAATCACATCTAAAGGATTAGTCATACCTCTTGGGTGATCCCACCCTCATCATCCATATAAGCATATGAGGAACTCACATCGTCCCCCTCATGGTGAGGTGCGGGGTCTGATGGTGTACCAGACCTAGAGGCAGATGGTTCATCATATTCAGGATCACGGCAACCGAGAAGGTTCGATAACCGCCTTAACTTCTTGGCCTGACGCTGTAACATGAACAAGTGTGTAAGATATCAAACTTCACAACATAGACTGGCTCTCATAGTGAATGCGATATGTACCTTGAGGAATGCTCGTAGTGAACCATCATCATTGCCAGTTCCAACCGGTGTCTTCTCCAGAATAGACTGGCTCTCATCAGCTGCTTTCTTGATCTCGGTGCGTTGCGGGTGAGAAAAAATGAATGTGTTAGCCATTCAAACATGTGTAATACGGTCAACAGGAAAGTAAAGAGGGGAACACTTTACCACATAGTTAATCACCGGAACAGCAGGGACTCCTTTCCCTAGCCTGACATCTCTGTTGTACTTCCCCTTTGCTAGATCCTCAAAGTTTACGGGTTCTTCAAGAATATCCTCATTATATGCCGGCGGGCATATCTCAACTCGAGTAGTTCCAATAAACCATCGTACGTAGTTATCAAAAGCAAGTGAGTTGTGCTCACGAAGCGGGGCGCGTGCAGTGCTACGAGCTTGCTTCACACAAAGCTGGAAGCGGGTAACATACGCAGAATGATGCTTGGCCCAGTCTTTTATCTTCCGTTGCCTTCTCCTGTCCAACCTGCGTGGTATAAAACCAAACATTAGCACAATCAAAAGGAGTCCCGATGATTAGACAATATGCACACATGCTCTCTTACCTATGAAGTGCTTTATCCGTGTCCACCCAATCCAGCGGGTGAGGCTGGAAAAGACCAAACTGACGATACACGCGATGCGGCAAATGAAACTCAACCGCCCAGTTGCATATCAGTGGGCACCGCATAAGCCAGAGATCCTTATCCCGCAAGCACATCGGGTTGAGGCGGAACTCCGCGGTGTACCCCAAGCTCTCACCCGCGCCATATGGCTGCCATTCCACCTATGAAACAGGGCAACAATGCAAATTTGATAACTATTTTTCAAGCAAGCATGAGAAAGGACTAAAGTAATGACCTCCTTACCTGCTCAGGCGTAATCGTGTCCAACTCGGCAATGTACTTTTGGTACATGAGATTGACATCGTTCGTCATCTCGGAAACGATATCCGACTTGTAAGCCCACGTGGGGCGCCGTAATTCGTCATGTTCATCTGCATACCAAGGATCAAACCTGACGCTCTTCGGGCGTCCAACAGGCAGACGCTCCCAGCTCCATACAGAAAGTAGAAGCAGATTACCACCAATGCCTGCACTA